AAAATAGGTAAATATATATCCGTTAACTCTTAACATTCAGTGCCTGAGGTATTTGACAGGTTGTAAGTTTACAAACAAGCTATAGTCTACAGTGGGAACTAGTTACACCAGGATGGGGCATGTTCGGTTCACATAGTTTTATGTCCATGACATATAAACTCATGAGAACCTATGTTGTGACCTCGAGAGATTCTTACTTAGTACGAGATCCTATGTTGAGAGAACGACATTTTTTATGTCGTTTGAGATCCTATGTTGAGAGAACGACATAGAGAGAATGAGAAATATATTTATATTATTTTATGTTCTTACATATTTTGTTATTTATTGAAATAACAAACTTCATTTGAATGTTGTTTATAGGCAACATTGTGCTCAATGTATTAGGCCATATTTTAACACAATAATTTCTTGAGTCCGTCCTTATTTTGTCATTCTTAATTAAAAATAAATATAGGCTTATACATATCTGATCATTTCTGGTTGCTATGGTCTCACAGGTTGTTCACACATTTAACTTGTGGCACAAGAAATAGATTATTCCCTCAACAAAGGAAATATAATAGGAAAAATGGTAAGAAATATCTTAAATAAAAATTTTATATAAAAAAAATGTATTTACATTTATATTCAAAATATAAAGTAGAGCACAGTCAAAATTCTCTGCTTTTACTGCTGTAATGACAACTCATTGCTTTGTCATACACAATTCATTGCATGTCAGCATATTTGCACATTTGCAGCACCAACCAAATTTTTAACAGTGTTTTTCAGATCTGTATGTATCCAAGTGTGATTGGCATGTTCATATATACCTAAATAAACTGAACTAATGGAGAAATCATACTGTTCTGAATCATGCCAAAATGTTCTAGCTGTGAAAATGCAGAGTAGGCTAAAATAAAACCTACTCTTCCTAAAGATAATGTGTCGTCTTTGCTTAATGTGTGTGTATATGTTTTATAAAAAAATCAAAAAAAATCTGGATGTCCTAACAAACCTACTATAAATCTGGATGTCCTAACAATTCAGTTGACAAGGTGTTATTTTCCATGATTTCATGGTTAGAACAATACTGTTAAGTGAGATGTTTCTTAAAGAGACCATTTAACATTGCTTAGTATGTCTCTTTAATTTGTAAACTGTTAGGAAATGTGTGTCCCTCTAAACCACAGTGGTTACATGCTGTCCTCGTAAACCATACTAAATCAAGCATGCTATTTCCATGATTTTATTGTTAAAACAACATTTTTAAGTGTGATGTATCTTAAAGAGACCATTTAACATTGCTTAGTATGTCTGTTTAATTTGTGAACTGTTAAGAAATGTGTGTCCCTCTAAACCACAGTGGTTACATGCTGTCCTTATAAACCATATATACCAGTATGTGTGTGTGTGTGTGTGTGTGTGTGTGTGTGTGTGTGTGTGTGTGTGTGCGTGTGGTGGGGAATTTAGATTGCTTTGTGTTTTTTTGTTTTGTTCTTCTGCATGTTGGGTGTTTCAACATTTTCTTTTGGGATGTTCGTTGTTTTAGTGTTTTTTTGTGGCATGTTGGGAGTGTCAGTGTTTTCTTGTGGAATGTTGGGGATTTGACTGCTTTCTTTAGGGATGTCAATTATCACTGCAGTCAGTTCGTCATCACTGTCATGTTTGTCATCTGGTGTGATTGGTTTTGGTTTGTTCAGATCGACAATGTAATTATTGTCTGTGAATGAGATTGTCAGTGGACTAATGGACATCAAGTACTCCTCAATGTCTTGATTGTCCATTGATGTCGTTTTCTTGGTTGATGAATTTGGTGAGTAGTGAATTTGTAATGGTTAAGGATATTGTTGCTCAATTGTGAGGAATCCGCTACATTTAGTGATGTAACTAGTTCCTTTTCTCAAGATTTTGCGTGTGGGGCACCGATGGAAAGTGTCATTTTTAGTTAAGGCCTGCTGGGCGGTATGACACTTGGGGCATTGTTTTTTTCATGGTGATGGATGCACCGGTGACATCTGTCGTTATGGTGTGAAGAGTGGGTGGAGGAGTTTGCGTGTTGTCAGTTGTGGTAGGTGTAGCAATTTTTTGTGTATTGGGGTAATGCTGGTGGTGCGTGTTGTGGTTAGCGTAATGTTATCATTAAAGATCCTGGTTGATAAGTTGGTGAAGCTATATGCCCTGCCAACATTGACAAAGTCTATTTGTGTATCCCACAACGAAAGTGAGATGATGCCAGTTTCATCCGCTAGGCAGCAGGTCTTTACTTCACAGTCATTTTCACGGATGGTGACTGTACTAGTTGTGACGTCCATTGAGTACACTGACGCCTCCAATTTGGTGATCTGTAATGAATAAAATGTTAAAAATTGAAATACATCATGTTCATTGATTAATAATAACAGTTTAAGTAAGGAAAAGATCATTATTTGGATAAGCTAAGTTATTGGGATATTTATATTATTTTTGTATTTTATCTAAACATTGTTATATGTATATAGTAATTCATTGAGATAGTGGATGTGATAGTTTTTGATGATGTGATCAACTGTAATAATAAATATGCATAAAATTGTTATTAGTGGCATCACGTTTTTCCAAATCTTTGATTTGATTACATTTGAGTCTTAGGTCATGGTTCGATTGTTGATTTTTGTCAATTGGCTAATCAGGAAGCTCTCTTTATTACATGTGCTATATATTTGTTTTACACATAGTCTGTGTGCAGTTTCATTGGATACAGTAGCTATATGTTTGTGAAAAGACCAGGGGCCACACTCGCCCCATGCGATAAGTTTCACCGCCACGGGTCCCCGGATAGGGCCCCAGAGTTTCGTGGCTCTGGATGCTTCCTGAGCCCAGTGGGCCCTCTAATCCTGACTGCTGAATTGACCCTGGCAGACACATGCTCCCATAGAAGTCAATGGGAGACAGAGAGGTGCATAAAAAATAGCCAAAAATAAACTCGGCGTGTCTCGACCCAGCCCTCTCGGTATGTCGCAGGGGTCCACGTGACGCAACGTTTTGTCGAGTTTGGGGCCCCTCGGACCCCCGGGGGCCGTGCGGGAGCCACTGACACGTACAACTTATCCCATTCAAAAATTTAGGCCGTTCGTAGACAATTGGAATTGCTGGGTTCTGAAGCCTGCAAATCGCCCAGGGGGGTCCATAGATTGACATAAAATTGATTTTAATCATTTTACAATTTCTATCATATTTTATCAAGAAAATGTCGAAAACGGCATCCCACCTGCAACTTATTTGACAGGGTCCCTGTAGGCTGTCTGTGGACAGTGCTTTAAAAGGTCATATTTCACACATGAAGTGGTCAAACCTACTGCACAGGACTCGGGGGACGGAGCGCAACACACTGGTGTAAATTACGACCATTAATTGCACATAATTTGCAAAAGATCATGCTGTCTACAGACAGCCTAGAGGGACCCTGTCTAACAAGTGACAGGTGGGATGCTGTTTCTGACTCTGACACTTTCAGCCGGTGAATCCTGGTCAGGAATCGGGCATTTCAGCATATGTGATGAAATCCCCAATTCCTTACCAGGATTCACCGGGCGAAAAATCTCAAAGTCGAAAACAGCATCCCACCTGTAACTTATTTGACAGGGTCCCTGTAAGCTGTCCGTGGACGTGTCATTTAAGGCTAGTTATGCATTGTCATGAAATGCTAAGTACCCCAACATGTTGCATTGTCTCCCCTGTCCACTGTGCTGCAAGTTTCAAGTAATAAACCACTAACAATCATGAATTATGACCTAATAATGCATTGACCACAAACAGCCTAAAGAGGTCCCGTCAAATAAGTTGCAGGTGGGATGCTGTCCCACCTGCAACTTATTTGAGGTCCCTGAGGTCCCGTCAAATAAGTTGCAGGTGGGGTGCTGTCCCACCTGCAACTTATTTGACAGGGTCCCTTTAAGCACTCCATGGACTGACCACAGACAGCCTACAGGGACCCTGTCTACTAAGTGACAGGTGGGATGCTGTTTCTGACTCTGACATTTTCAGCCGGTGAATCCTGGTCAGGAATCGGGCATTTCACCATATGTGATGAAATCCCCAATTCCTTACCAGGATTCACCGGGCGAAAAATCTCAAAGTCGAAAACAGCACCCCACCTGTAACTTATTTGACAGGGTCCCTGTAGGCTGTCCGTGGACGTGTCATTTTAAGGCTAGTTATGCATTGTCATGAAATGCTAAGTACTCCTACATGTTGCATTGTCTCCTCTGTCCACTGTGCTGCAAGTTTTTAGTAATAAACCACTAACAATCATGAATTATGACCTAATAATGCATTGACAACAAACAGCCTAAAGAGGTTCCGTCAAATAAGTTGCAGGTGGGATGCTGTCCCACCTGCAACTTATTTGAGGTCCCTGAGGTCCCGTAAGCACTCCATGGACTGACCACAGACAGCATACAGGGACCCTGTCTAATAAGTTGCAGGTGGGACTCTTTTGTGCCCACCTGTAACTTATTTGATAGGGTCCCTATAGGCTGTTTGGGGACACTGTCAGTAGACATAGGTGTTATAACAAACTAATTACACAGGTTTCGATTACACGAACAGATCAATTAACACTTTGACCAGTTTAAACCATTTTAATAAAGCGCCTAATTAAATTTGAATTATCTAAGCAATACTTGGAAAAAAAAAGGACAGACAAGAAGTTAAAATTCCAAACAACAAAAACTACTTTATTTTGAACAAATATACAGGAAAAAAGTGAAATTTAAATGGAAATGGTGATGGGTAAAAAAACAAAGGAACAACTCAAAGTCTTTAAAAAATCGAACACTTGAACAGTTTTTTTTTTTTTTTGGAACAAACACTCTAAAAAAAACACACTTTAACTGACTTGAACTATTAACAATAAACACACTTGAACACTTGAACAGTTTAAAATTCGAAGAAGAAAAATCTCTCGCGGAACAAACACTCACAAACACTCGGAACACGAACTCGACGTCTGAAAAACATCAACTCAGTTTCAACGTCTATTTGCGCTGCCTGCGCTTCTTTATGGCCTCCTTGACCTTCTTGGAGACCTCCTTTTGGCGTGTCAGGCCGACGAGGGTCGTGGAGGTGGGGGAAAAGATGGCCTTCTTTACTTTCAGCGGGGACACGTGCCTCTGGGTCGACGGCAAACATTTCAGGGGAGTCAGGAGCACCGTAGCTTTCCCTCTCCGCCGCGGGTACTTTTTTGGGGTGGTCGTCTCCTCCTCCTCCTCCTCTTGGGATCCCACTGCCTCTGCGCCTGACTCGGCCTTCTCCTCCTCCTCTTGGGATCCCACCGCCGCTGCGCCTGACTCGGCCTTCTCCTCTTGGGATCCCACCGCCGCTGCGCCTGACTCGGCCTTCTCCTCCTCCTCTCGGGATTCCACCGCCGCTGCGCCTGACTCGGCCTTCTCCTCTTCTTGGGATCCCACCGCCGCTGCGCCTGACTCGGCCTTCTCCTCCTCCTCTTGGGATCCCACCGCCGCTGCGCCTGACTCGGCCTCCTCCTCCTCCTCATCCTGCTGCTCCTCGTGCTGCGCAAAGTAGGAAAAACACGCGCACACACACAAAAAGACAAGGTAAGTCATCGGTTGTGATGTCGCAAGAGGGCTGTTGTAACTCTGCAGTCAAAGGAAAAAGCCAACTCACCCCACTGGAGTCGGGGCGGGACGTCCCCGGCTCCTGGTACTCCGGGCTCTTGGTCGCCTCTGGAGTCGTGCTGCCCGAAGTCATCTCCTCGTCCGAGGACTCTGGAGCTCTCCTCTTCTTCTTGAGGGGCTCCTTCCCCTTCGCGGGCCGCTTGCGTTTGATTGAGGTCGGCTGTTTCGACGGGGAGCACCTCTCTTCGCCCTCCAGGGCGGTGTCAAAGAGCCTCCGGTGCTCCATGGCCTGCTGGGGGGTCAAGTTGGCCATGTAAAATTTGTCTGCCGTCCTTGTGTCGTGGCACATAAACTTGGACAGCTTGACCCGGTCGTCGTTGGAGTGGGTGAATTTTATCTGGGAGGACAGAGACAGAGAAGAGTAAAAACCAATGCCGCCACCGGCGGAGGACCTCCGAAACGCGTGCCGGAAGCGGCGACGAAGGTGGGGCACCCGGGAAGGCCCATGGACTTCCAGGCCTCTTGGAAGTAGGAATTTAGATTTTTGCATGGGTTTGGGGTCTAAGTGAAAAACAGGAACTTGGCGGAGGCTCCGGCGGGAAGCTGATCTTTGACTCGGAGGAGTCGATTGACCCAACCGAACTCCTCCTCTGTCAAAACGATCTGGGCAGACCCGAAAGCCATGTTCGTTTTGTGGTTGGCCACCTGTGGACACACGAGGGGAAGAAATAAAAATAGATGGATAAATCAATCAATAAACAAATCAATTTAAAAAAAAGTCCACACAAAAACACAATCGGGCAAAGAAGAGTCGGACGCTCACGTTTATCAGGTACGCCTTCTCCGAGGTCGATTTGCGGGCCACCAGAACCTCCTGCATAGTTATGTTTTGGAGAACCCCCCCTCTGTGGCCATACACGGAGGCGAGCAGCGCCGCAAAGTGCCCGTAGAACCTCCACAGGGTCTTCTGGGTGGGCTCGTTCTCCAGGAGGGCTAAAGATGAGAGAAAAGCACAAAGTTCAAAGGTCCGTCGGCCGGCGGGTGAGAGGCGCGGGGAGGGGACGAAAGACCACTCACTCAAAAGGTCCGGGATGGCCTTGGCGGCGAGTTCCCTGCACTTGCGGAGGGTGGCCTTTTGGATGATGTTGACCTCCTTGCCCTCCTTGACCTGCGTCTGGTGGACGGCCACGCCCCTCTTCAGAGACTTGCGGAGCGCCCCCATCTCCCTGTGGAGGCCGACCAGGGCTTTTTTGGTCAAGCGGCAGGACTGCGGAGGGGTCTCCGACAGGAAACGCATGAAAGATCCCACGTTCAGGGCGTAGTGCTGTATCGTGGTCACGGTCATCTTCGCCCGCCGGAGGGAGCTGACCCAGCTGCGAAAACAGAGACAAAAACCGTCAGAGAGGCGGCAGAGCTCGCTCAAAGGCCGTGCCCGCGACGGGGGACGCGTCACTCACCCGTGTATCCTGGCGGTGTCGTCCAGGAAACGGAAGTCCGCCAAGTTCTGTTTTCCCCTCGCCATGGCCGCCAAAAATTTCTTGATCCGGTACACCTGGCAGCCGACGTTCTCTTTCAGCTTGGTGCCGGGGTCCGGGCCTTCCCTGTGGCGCCTGTACTCCTCCACGATCTCGTCTGCAAAGAAAAAACAAAAGAGAGAGAGAGAGAGAGAGAGAGAGAGAGGAGAGAGAGAGACGACGGCGAGAGAGCAAAGCGTTAGCGTTAGCACGATCACGGGTTAAAAAGAGAAAAGGGGCGAAAGTGTCACACTCACTTAGCGCGCCCACGTGGTCGGGGTAGTGGGGTTGCTCCTCGCCCGGGTCCTCCGGCTGCTGGCTGGTGGAAGGCTTCTCTTCTTCGCCCCCCTCCGCAGTCTTCTCCTCGGACGAGGCTCGGGGCTGCTGCTGCTGAGGGGTGGAGGTGGCCTCCGGCGAAGACTTGACGTCCTCTTCCACAAGGGGCGCCTTCCTCTTCCTCCGGACCCAGGGGGGAGAGGAGCCTTTTGGCCGCCCGCCCGATTCGGACCGAGCCCAAGGAGGTCGACCTCCTCTTCAGGATGCGATACCTCCGGGTGACCGTCCGGAGGGTCTCGCTGAGGGTGTCGACCTGCTTGCTCAGGTCGACCACCTGGTTCCTGAGGAGCTCCTTGACGTTCTTGCAGCCCTGCTTATCGCACTCCTCCTCCTCCAGGGTCTCTGGGTCTTGGGGGTTGGACGGGTCCTCCTCGATGAACTGCTGCTGCTCCAGGTCGAGGGTGGACACCATCAGAGGAGTGGGGTTGGAGGCCCTCAGGGCAGTCAGCTTTTCAAGGCACACCCTCCTCTTGCAGTAGCGGAGCGCTTCGTCCTGCATCCCCGCCGTGACCTCAGAGTGGGTGCGGATGTGGCGGTCGAGTCTGTTGGAGAATTTCCCGCACGCAGGAAGCGGGCAGAGGCCTGCACGGGCATTCACTCGCCCCGACTCCATGGCAAGGAGCAGCTTCCTCTCCTCCGGGTTCTTGACGCCGTGGGTGACCACCAGGTGCTGCCCGAGCCGGGCGTACGACTACAGACAAAGTGGGCAGGTTTCCGCTGGCATTTTTGCAGGTGCCCGGACGATGGACTCGCTCGCTGGAAGGTCTGGTGCGGACTGACTGGGGTCTACTCGCTGCCCAGAGCCTCTAACCTTACGCTTACCCGAAAATGGGGTGCAAAATCAAGTAATTTGCTGCACACTTACCTGTAAATGGGGTCCAAAATCGAGTAATTTAATGCACACTTACCTGTAAATGGGGTCCAACATCGAGTAATTTAATGCACACTTACCTGTAAATGGGGTCCAACATCGAGTAATTTAATGCACACTTACCTGTAAATGGGGTCCAAAATCGAGTAATTTAATGCACACTTACCTGTAAATGGGGTCCAAAATCGAGTAATTTAATGCACACTTACCTGTAAATGGGGTCCAAAATCGAGTAATTTAATGCACACTTACCTGTAAATGGGGTCCAAAATCGAGTAATTTAATGCACACTTACCTGTAAATGGGGTCCAAAATCGAGTAATTTAATGCACACTTACCTGTAAATGGGGTCCAACATCGAGTAATTTAATGCACACTTACCTGTAAATGGGGTCCAACATCAAGTAATTTAATGCACACTTACCTGTAAATGGGGTCCAACATCAAGTAATTTAATGCACACTTACCTGTAAATGGGGTCCAACATCAAGTAATTTTATGCACACTTACCTGTAAACGGGGTCCAAAATCAGGTAATATAATGTTATAATAATATGAGTTCAATTTAAAGTAATTTACTGTACACTTACCTAAAAATGGAGTGTAATTTAATGTACACTTACCTAAAAATGGAGTGCAATTTAAAGTAATTTAATGTACACTTGCCTGTAAATGGAGTGGATCATCCCAGCCACAACTGAATAGGCTTTCCACGGTCAGGCTGGAACCATTGTTACAGGTATTTTTTTTTTTTAATTAAAATAAAAAAAATAGAACATTTATATATCTTTTACCTGTTATAACCTGTTGTGAAACCCATGACCTGTAATTATGACCTATTAATGCATTGACCACGGACAGCCTAAAGAGGTCCAGTCAAATAAGTTATAGACCTGTGTGAACTGACTTTGTTGCCATTTTTTTTTTTTTTTAAAGATGCTGCTGACGTGCCTCCTCTGCCCGGCCCAGGTTCGTCACCTGCGGCATCACCTCCGGTCGCAGCATGGTATCGTAAACGGGGAGGAGAGGAGGATCCTGCTGCGACTGGCGAGGGGCTGCATTAGGTTGAGGAACCTGGGCTGCCCAGAGTGCGGGGTGGTTTACGAAAACGTTGAGAAGCATTTTATATCGGGCCATCCAGAGCTGACGGTAAGAATAATCTCAAACTAGCATTCTTGTTTTATTGAATTCATTCAAAAAATGTTTTGAATAAAACTCTCTTTTCAGAGAAAGAGGATCAAGTTGTTGACCAGACGACTGGAAAAGGAGGTAGCAGAGAGACAGCTGGAAGAATTTAGGGATGGTCAACAACTTGACCCTCCAATCTCGTCAGCTCCGGATGGCCCTGAAGGAGGAGAGCAGCCACAGAGCCCTGTTCACACAGGTGTTCAGAGCCCTGTGGCTGTTCTGCCTGAATGCCTCCAACTGCTGGGTAGGTTTTGAATGATTTTTTTTTGTTTGCAATGGGAATATGACTTTTTTTTTTTACAAGATGTTGAACAAATTATTGAGTCTTGTGTGTGTGTGTGTCTATTGTAGAAGATTTTGAAATGGAGACTGCTCCTAGCTTCCTGGGTAAGTGATCAACATGTAATTATGCTATATTGTTATTACAAGAACAATACATTAATATCTTTTTTTTTTTTTTTCATTAAAGAGTTACTGATGGCAAGTGAGCCAGAGCAGGAGGTGAAAGCTTTTGGTAGGTATCAGGTGAACAATTGTTTAAACTTGTACTGTGTTGTCATGAATAGGACATTAATATATAAATATATACATACAAAATAATGTTTTTTTTATTGTTCTTAGACGATTTGTTCAAACAAATCGAACAACAGGAAAGACAGCGTGAACAATTTTGTTCACGGCCACAAGGTAAGCAATAGGTCATAAGTTTACATGCACCGAACCAAGTTTTGTTGTTGTGTTATTATTTTGTTTAATGAATTGTTGTTCTTTGTTTCCCCTTTCCTTTTTTTTTTCATTTGCCAAGGGGACACAGACCTCACAACTGTCGACTTCAGTCAATTGTTTAATTTGTAAATAGTTTAAATTACTACTGTATATATTTTAAATATTTGATGTCATAGTTTTATATTATCCACATTTTTATATTGTTATTATTTTATTTTTTTCTGTTCTGTGTCCTGTTCATTCCCTTTATTTGTACTGTTCTTAACTGTGTTCTGTAATCATGTGATTTTCTAAATATACTTAATTATGTTTAAATCATGTGATTTTATACTTAATTAAAGCAGTTCAATCATGTTTAAATAATAAATAATAATAAAAAAAATTGTTCAAACTATGACTGTCTCATCTATTTCACCAGAACATACCAACTATGGCTTATTGACAGGGTCCCTATAGGCTGTTTGTGGACAATACATTAAAAGGTCTTATACCATGGTCTGGGTGAATACTCGATTTTGATTGGCTGCAGGGTGTCCGTTAAAAAGTGATAGAGGACACCTAGTAAAGTAGTTCTGGTGAAACTGCCTGTTTACCATTCAAAATGAATAAATAAATGCGCTGCCTACAACGGCTGTGAGTAACCATAGCAACAGGCAGTCACATGCTCTATCATCTAACGTTAGATATTATAGCCTAATACAACAATGAGCGACTTCGTGCTATTTCTTTTAACATTTATGGAGAATATGGCAACTTTGACGACTGGTATGCTGCTGAAGAAAGAAAAAATGTAAATAAAACGGAGAAAATTACACCGCTGCTGCTCTGTTCCATTGAACTCTATTGGTAACGACGTAACTTGCGACCATAGTTGGATAACGATGCTTTCGGGAAACGCACCCCTGAATGAGACCC